CAATTGAGGGTCAAAGTGGGTCCAAAAAAATATAGTTTACTACTCAATATGACATAATCAAGGGTTTATAAGTGCTTAGAGGCTTTGGGGAAAGCTCAAAGGTCAAAATCCACTGGTTGGTAGGTCAGGTGGCATAGGTAGTAAATATTTAAAGGTTTTACAACCTTTGGATTTCAATCCAATTTCTAGAGTTAGAGGACTCCAATTGAGCTCAAATTTGGAGAGTTGACCCTTGTGACATGCTTAATCAATATGTAATTGATACATCATGAATCATGAGTTATTTGATTGAGTTTTAAAGTGTTTAAAAAATCATTAAATAAGGCTTTCAAGACCTAATTAAGCCTTTAGCCTTGAGATTTGGCCTAGAAATTTCGATTTTCTCTGGGTTTTGGATTTAATTGATTGTTTTTGGATTATCTAAAATGATGAAAATCATTTTAATGATGATATATGACTAGATAGGGCTAGGGTTTGATAAGAAGCTAGATTAATCCATATTTTAGATAACTCTAAAATATGGATTAGTTTGTGGATTAGATTGATCTCAAGTCTAAATTTGTCCAAGAATTTAGAGGCATTATAGGGTCTAGAATCTAGAAGTGTCCTAAGGCTTGGATAGATCCTAGAGGCTAGAATCTTGCAAGACTTAGGTTCTAGGAAGATCCTAGGGTCAAGATAGGCTTAGGAACTGGATTGATCCTAGGGTTTAAATAGAACCTAGGGGTCTGGATACATTCTAGAGTCTAGATTGGTCTTAGAGACCTCATATAAAAAATGAGGTCAACAAAAACTAGGACATTTCTCTACCTCTCTACTACCGCAAATGTTCCAAAAAAAAATTTATTAATTGTATTAGCAAGCTTAGTAACAAAAAAGCTCTATTCTAGAAGTGTTCCACTATCATTCTTATGTTCATTTCATAGTTAGAAAGCTAATAGGTTAATGGATGATGAAAAATGTCCTATGAATTTAAGTTATTATAGATGAGATTTCATAATTGCGTATAACCTACGAGCCATTAGAGAAAATAAAGGAAAATTTATATATAAAGAGCTTGAAGGCTTTTGAATTTACTTTGAGATGAATAAATACAAAATAATTTATATTGAACTCATATAAAATAAATTAAAGATTTCAAAGCTCAACCTACTCTTTATTAGAATATCCTAAGATAATTTTCTTATGAAAATAAATGTCATTGTTGTTGACTGGAACATTCACGGCCTTAGAGAACGTTATATAGAGCACGTTATATAGTTATGATTGGAAGAATCCAATGATAAGGGAGCCATTCTCAAAAGAACGTTGACATGTTCATTTGGTTGATAGGATTAATTGTATTTGGAAATGGAGATTAGAGGGACTATAGTCAATAGGTGAAAAAGGTCAGAAGAACCATAATCAGTAGACGATAATGGTCGGAGGAATTGTAGTCAATGGGTGATGGCGGTCGAAGATGTAATAACTCAAATATATGAAATAAATTTATTTAAAAATTATAAAATTTTTGAAGTATAGTACTTTGGCACTAATTCGATGAGCATTGTAGTGATACACTATGAACACTATATATATATATATATATATATATATATATACTCACTCCATTGACTCCCTCACTTGGTTGCTTGCTTAGGAAGAAATTGAAAGAGGAGAAGAAGAGAGAGGAGAGGGAGATCTTTAAATCATATTTATTAGTCATTCCCATTGTATATTTTATTTTATTCATTGTAAGTGACTAATCTCTTACTTATATTTTCAATAATTTTGATTTCTATAAATTTTATCTCTCCTAAATATGTAAAAAATATATTATCTCCTAATTTCATAAGTTTTCACCATATAAGTTTTGATATGTTATAAATTTGATCATTATGAATAATTTGATAGAATTGTATTACATTTTAAATGAAGTGGTGAATGATATTTGATACATGATATAATAACCCCATGTGATACCATATTGATCCACATATTTCACGAATTGGCAGCCATAAAGAGTTGAAGATTGATTGGGAGTTATAAAGAGTGAGGATGGCTTATTCACATGATTCAAGGGGAGCTATAAGTATATTGATTGGGATTTATAAAAGGAGACAGATTGAGAGCCATAAGCGCAGGAGCAAGATACATTTAGTATATACTCATTGAATAATTGAATACTAATACTAACACTACTACAAATTCTGTACTAACATTATGACTATCCTTAATATTATTTACTATCGTTCATAATATTTAACATTATAAATGATGATACTAATATTATTTTTAATATTAGTGCTATTGACTGTTACTGGTATTATGATTGATAATGTAATGGATTGAGATGTGATAAATTATAGAAGATAAAATTGATACGGATAATCAGTATAGACACTAATGCATATATATTTTCTTATATGATTTATATTATATTGTTCGCTTTTCTCTTACATTAATTTCAACTGTAAGATTTTAGTTACTTGACGAGTAATGTGCTCACACTACAGGAAAATACCTTATTACCGTCAAAATTTTCTGGCGGATAAATATACACCAGAAATTGTGACGACACCACCGACAGAACTTTTCACCGGTTATTATATGGCGGCATTTCCGACAGCTTTGCCGTTGTTACGCTACTGGCAACTAATACGCTCGTTTTGCACCGGTGATATTAATATAGAGGCACATAATCCACCAGTATTATCCGGCGGATGTTCCGGCATACTTTGCATCGGCGTAACTAAAACACGATGAAATGATACAGGCAAAATTTTTGCCGGTAAAATTACCGTCGGACAGTCCGCCAGAAAAATGCCTATAATAAACTTATATCGGGTGAACCCTAGGGCTGTCTTCTCATTTCCTCCTTTCGACTTTGCTTCTTCGACGCTGTTTGAATTTTCTCCTCAGACGCTGTCCCTCCTTCGACTCTGTTTGACTTCGCTCCTTCGTTCGATTTTGCTCTTTCGACGCTGTTCGACTTCGCTGTTTGACTTCGTTCCTTCGACACTATTCGACTTTGCTCCTTCATCGTGGTTCGACTTTACTCCTTCATCGCAGTTCGACTTGCTTCTTCGTCAACTTCACTCCTCTAAATCCGTTCGACTTTGCTCCTTCAAAGCTGTTCGACTTCGCTCCTTCAAAGCCGTTCAACTTTGCTCCTTCGAAGCGGTTCGACTTGCTCCTTCGTTGCTGTTTGACTTCGCTCCTTCAACTGTTCGACTTTCGACGATGTTTCGTTCCTAATGGATTAGTACTAGGTAACTTTCTCCTTATCGTGGTGTTTGACTTTGCTAATTCGATGACCTAGCTTCTACATTAACACTTGCTCGTTTGCTGTGTAAGTAACTTGTTTGACTTTGCTCCTTTGACGACCTTCCCTTCATACTGGATTGGAAGTTACGACATTTTAATGGATGCTCTCTTGCTGTGTAGGAAACTTTCTTTCTTTCTCTTGTAACATTATGCATTAAGTTAATGTGTCATACTTTAAAACTATGGGAGCAAGTTATGGAGCATAGGTTGCGACGTGATACTAATGTTTCTCAAAATCAATTAGGATTCACGTCAGGTAGGTCTACTATTGAAGCCATACATTTATTGAGAGGTTTGATGGAGAAATTTAGAGAGAATAAGGAGGATCTACATGATTTTATAAGTTTTTAAAAAAGGATAATGATCCTATGATATGAGGCTCCGGATAGGGAAAATTTGTAATTATGTTTTTTTCTATTTAATTGTAAGCTCTAGTTAAATGTTTAAAATGGAAGATAGAAGTAATTCTTTTGATATAGATCTTGGAGTGTGACAAAATGGTATCCAGTCAATATTTATTAGAAGAATTAAAATATAACTAGAGCTTATGAGTGGAATAGAAATTAATGTGATTTCTAATTTACAATTAGTTAATTTGAGTTTAAAATTTTATTTTGAACTTTCTCTCTCTCTCTCTCTCTCTCTCTCTCTCTCTCTCTCTCTCTCTCTTACACATATAACAATATTGATGATGATATTTTTTAAGGTTGAAAGATTGTAATAACTCAAATATATGATATAAATTTATTTGAAAATATTAAAATTTTAAAGTTGAATGATTTGGCATTGATCTGCTAATCGCTACGGTGCTAGATTATGAACAGCATTTATATACATATATATATTTATAAATATTTTTGCCTCAGCCCACTGACTCCCTCAAAGATCTTTGAATCATATTTGTCAAATATTACTGTTACAAATTTTATTTTATTCATTTTAAGTGACTAACCTCTTCCTTCTATTTCAATGATTTTAATTTCTAAAAATTTTATCCCTCCTAAAACTACTACAAATATATTATCTCCTAATTTTATAACCTTTTACCATGCAAGTTTGAATATAGTATATATTTGATCATTATGAATAATTTGATATAATTTTATTACATTTTAAATAAAATACTAAATGATATAAAATACATGATATAATAACTCCATGTGATACCATATTAATCTACATGATTCATTGATTTAGACTCATAAGAAATTAGAGATTGATTAGGAGTTACAAGGAATCGGGGAGACTGATTCACATAATTTAAGGGTTGTTATAAGGATATATATATATATATATATATATATACACTAGATAAATACTGGGGCTATCTGAAGAAAGTTAAGCCGATATGAATTTGAATGGATGAAGGATGAAATGAAGTCTATGAAGGATGGGTGCTGCTCCTGTTTCCAGGAAGCACTCATCATGCAAACTCCACCTGTACAAATTAAAGAAAATCCCGAGTGGATTTTTACGCTCATTAGTTAAACTGGGATATTTCTATTAGGTCTGAATCTAGAAGAAACAAGATGCATCGCATGGTGGCAAAGCACACCAAATACATTTAATCCAAACAAGAATAATTGAAAAGTATCTCTCACGGAATGTAATAGAACCATCCTGCTCAACTTTGGCAAACCATAATATCAGTTATTTCAACAAACAGTCTAACTCCAATAACGAGGGCGTTGTTGTTTGAAAAGATTAATCTATTCTTGCCTAATATGTTTATCAACACTTTTAGACTAGAAGGGGAATGAGGAAAGAAGTGATTCTAAAATAAACTCCAATTGCTACATGGAAAAAATCATGGAGGTCGATTTAGCTGCGGAAAGCTAAAAGTGATCCAACTCGATCACCTTCATTCCTTATAACAAAATCTTAGTCTTACAATTAAATAATATCCACAAATCTAACGCCTATGTAATAGAATTACAATGTCTGAGTAGGAGTAGTCTTCTGGACCCATCATTGGAGGAACATCCTTATAGTTCTTCAGACCCAGCAGGCTAACAGCCACATTCTTCACATTGACAGTGGGAGGGTAGAATTGTTAATTCTCAAAGAAGTATGCTGAAGCAGAGCATTTATACACACTACTGCATTACAATGACCTGCAAGTCAAAGTTAGATAACAATAAGCGAGTGGCTATAAGAAACTAAGGCTTCGTTTGGGACTTCTTTCTTACTACTTCTTAAAGCAATTTTTTTATAAAAAAAAATAAATTTTTTATTAAAAAGTTGCTTTAAGAAGTAGTTAGAAAGTCATCGAAAACAAAGCCTAAATCAGGTTGTCAATAGTTTTACTAGCATAGAAAATGAAGAGCTTTAAAAATATCTCGATTCCTACCTCCTCTATTCTTTGCCTGAGCTTATGAAGGCTAGCATTTGAGAAAGCTCTAAAAGTTCCGCCGAGGATGGCAGACTTTGGAACCAGGTCCAGATTGCTCCCTCCGTTCACTTCTGCCATTAAGACAACCTGACAAGGAAATGAAAATAATGCACTAAGACAACCTGACAAGGAAATGAAAATAATGCTTACAGATGATGAAACGTTACACAATTATAAATTCTATTGTTCTAGTGAACTAGGTAAGGGTATTTAGTGCATACACAAATACTGCAACAGTAGTTTTTGAGCCCATAATCAAGGCAATAGTAAACGTCCAAAGCCTGGATTGGGGATTGGATAATAAGCATACTCATTGATCCTATCAGGAAAAACTGTACAAATCTGACCAACTTTGATATATCCAAAGCCCCTCTCCTCCAAAGATCTATAGATTTAACTCAAGTTAAAAAGACCAAATAATAATAATAATGGGTGAAAGAGCACTAAGCACTTTTTGAAGAGAGTTTACGCTAATCGTCTATTTTCCTATTTGGTTAATCCACACAACATACAATCCAGGACAAAATCAATAAAAAGCTGAAATTTTTTTAAAAAAAAAACATCAATTTTACCAACACTAACAAGCATAAACATGAATAACTTACTCTATTAAGCACATCAAAACCGAAAGAAATTCAATATGATTAAACTTATATCATAATGCATTAACAAAAAATACTAGATTAAAAAAATCAATGCTTCGAAGTCTACTAACACAAAAAGTTGCTTCCAGATTACTAACCATTCTATGCTCCACAAGAAACCGGATGATATCCCAAACACCTGATGAAACTAGATTCGAAGTAAAGCTCAGAAAGATTTTGCATCTGACGGACTCTCTGTATGCAGGATCCAACTCTTCTTCAGTGCAATCTTTTGTTGGTTTCTCATGGGAAAGCCTCCAATCTAACTTCAATATTATCAGCATGGGAAAATACATTCAAAAAAAAAAACTTCTATGAAATAAAAGTAAAAAATCAAAGATCAACTTTCTTCCGAATTTTTACTTGCACAAAAAAAAAAAAACAAACACCACCAACTAAATTAAATAACGACATCAATTTAATATCTACAAAATCATTGATAAAAAAGATGAATAGTAGACAAAAGTAAGAAAACTCGCCATCTGATTTACGACTTCGACGGCGTCTCCAAGGTTCGATGCCTGGAAACCAGTGAAAACCAAGGAATGTGAAAAGTTGACCTGATTCAGGAATTGTTCCATTGAGCTTATTGTTAGATAGATCAATTTCAGAGAGCATAGTGAGGTGGCCCAAACTTGCACGGATGGAACCCTCAAGAGAATTATGCGAGAGATCAAGCACAGCAGCATATCGCAAACTACCTAATTCATCAGGAATGGGTCCTGATAACATATTGTGGCCTAAATTCAACACCATGAGTAAATACATGCTGCCAAGCTCTCTCGAAATTTCACCGATAAGATGATCTTGCAGCTCCCCACCCATGCTAGACCCCATTTGATATCAATCCATACACAAGAAGATTGACAGCTCAAATTCTTTTTCTCAATTTTTACTTGATCAACAAATCACTAATAAAAGTTGTTGAAATGACAGAAGTTGAACATATATCACAAAAATTAATAAATGAAGCATTGTTGACAAGAATTTAGAGTATAAATGACCAAATTTGTGCTAAGTAACAACAAAAACCGTTGTACAAATGACATAAGTTGTCAAGAAAAATTTAGAGTAGAAATGACAAAAGTTTAACATTTATCACAAAAATTACTATCTATAGCCAAACAAAAAATCAAAATTATTATAACATTTCAAAACAAACCATCGGCTATACATAATGAAAATATCGTGTCTATGTATATTATGTATTCCCTTCTTCTACACCTTGGATGTCAATTAGGCGAAAATTGATCATTATCTCCCTGTTATTAATATAGAAGTCATCAAAAAAACTAAATATGATAAATTAATTAATAAATGAAAATACGTATTTTTTTTTTATTTTACATACCATATTTGAACTTCTTGGTGGCGGATGTTGTCCTTGGTAATTATTCATGAATTGTCTCATCTCACTTTGCAATGTTTGCACCGCCTCCTCAAGTCTTACAACTCGATCAAATATAGTATTGCCTCGACTACTACTTCCTGGAACCGTGGTGCTATGAGGAAAATATCTGCTTGGAATAACCCCAAAACCTTGTGTTCGTACCCTCCCTGGGTGTTCTGGCCCCATGATCGCCTTGAAGACTTTTTCATTGGCTTCAAAATTTCCATCTTCTGGCGTTAACCCTTCTTCGGCAAGCATTTCATTGCATGGGCATAATATCTTTCCTGATAGATTCTTACTACGACTAGCAAAATCTAAAAAATCTTCAACTCCTTTTTTGTATTCACGACTCCATCTTGACATGGTTATCCAACTCTTATTCATTTTAAATTCAACTGCAATTTATAACAATTGACAATAATTAAAAAATATATTTTATTTCATATTTTTAGTAGTCTCAGCTAGAAATACTAAAAGTTAAAATAGAAATAAGCATGCCTTTTAACGATGGGACATGTAAACTTTATTCAAATGAAACAAAAGATGATATGAAATTAATTACATGATTCAAGAATTATAATTGATAAACTAATAATCTTTATTTTAACTTGTTCAATATATTCAAGTTCTATTGCAATCATGGAGGATTAATAGAATGCATAATAATGACTCCAATACATATGAGAATGTTGTAAATAAATATAAGACATCATATCAAGTTAAATTTTAACAACTCAATATTACTAATAAATATCTTGAGTTTACACTACTCAATGATACATAGGCCTAGCATTTTACCTAGAGGAAAATGCAGATGTCTAAGAAATTTCAGAGCTGCGACCATTTCATCTAATAAATAAGATGGATATTAAAAGAATGAATATAACTTGGTCAACTAATGAACATTGATTTTAATAACGGGAGATTTGTCAAATAAGTTTAGTTTGCAACTTTGAACAGTGAAATTTTGAATATATAAGGATGAGTGAATGGTTCAAATCTCTTAATGAAATATTTGGTTTGAAGTCTCTTGAAGAGATTTAGGCTTTGCTTGGAATAGATTTCTTATTGTTTTAAAAAACAATAATAAAGTCGTCCAAAATGAAACCTTAGATTTAAAACAAATATGCAATCTAGTGATCTAAACAACTCATAAGGCACTAATATCAACTTACAAATGGCATAATACTCCTATTGATATTGTGCTTTTATTGTGTGGTATGAAATAAATCTGCATATTCTAACATATCCATATTCTTATGAAAAAGCATTAAAAAATCAATTTTAATTTTAGAACTTATATCATCAACCATATCCATATTCTTATGTAAAATAAATCCAAAATGCTTAAACCTATTACAACATCACTAAGGCATGAGCCATAATGTCATATCAGATATATTTCTATAACAATTGTATTCCATATAAAATATTAGAGGCACATAACAATCTAATGTTATACACAGCAGAATATATATCTATAGACACATCAATATAACTTTCATAATCAGAAACACAACTTTAAAAAAAGAACATTTTTCTTCCATACAACTATAGCTTCTACAACATGGATAAGCCAACATTTAGATACAATAAAATGGACAAGAAAATCAACAAATCCTGATTCTGAAGTACTAGTATTAAAACCAAGTTACTAACTTAACGTAGATAATCAAAACAACTACCCATAGAATGAAATCCATTAGCAAAAAATACCGTCTTAAGGGAGTCCATAAGATGAAGAGTTGTAATAGATTTCTTATTTCAAGATATTGTAAACAAAAAAGAGGATGTTTTGCATCTACCTAGTTGAATCCAATAATCATCTTACCTAGTTGAATCCAATAATCATCAAAAGAGTATCACTCAATTTCATCAATCCAACCAGCAATTCATTTTAACTAAATATTAGGAAAAAAAACCACAAATAGCAAACACAAGCCTATCAATTGTTCCACAGCTACATATGAACTTCTATTCTTTTGTTAAATCATATTAAAATAGAACATAAAAACATAATCTCAAACCAAAGATAAATAAAGACATCCACTTAAAAAATAAAATTGACATTAAACAACAACAAACCAATCAAAGTACACTAAAAAAGAAACCTACAGGAAAAAAAAGCAAGCAAAAACTGAAAACTGACATAATGACCAATATCGATTCTTGTGATAGCAGCTTATCGGGCATCGTCGTTTTTGTTGGAATGAACAGAAAAATACTAAACAAAAGGAATACTTACAGAGATACTAGAAAGAAATTTTTTTAAAAGAATGCAAGCATCAGCGCCCACGTCCGGCGTCGGCCTCGGTGCGGGCAAAATTTTGTTAAGGTTGGTGATTTGCATAAGAGATTTTCTTTGCTGTTCCTTTTCTTCCATTTAATTTTTAATTTTAGGGATTAATATATAGAAACAAGAAGAATAATGAGAAGAAGAGGTAGAAGAATATGAAGAAGAAGAAGAATGAGAAAAAGAGGGAGAATAACATGAAGAAGAACAATGAGAAGAAGAAGAGGAAGAAGATGAAGAGACTCACTGTGATCACGAAGGGCTCCCGACCTGGATTCGCCTAGGAGATGCGACGTCGACTTGGCGGTTCGTCCCTTGGCTGTTCGCTATCGAGGACGGAGCGTAGAGTCTCTCGAAAAGGAGGAGTTAGGGATTCAGACGGAGCGGGGAGTTCCGGAAAGGAGTTAGGGATTCAGAAATGAGAGGAGTAAATAAACCGATTTTAACCGGTGCAAAATATTAGTTTTATCACCGGTTTAAAAACCGGAGTAAGTAAAATGATGCGAAAAGGTTTATTTTTTGGTAGTGACTATTTACTATTATTCATCATGATACTAATATTATTACTGGTATAATTAGTAATGTTAACTATTACTGATATTATGACTGATAATATAATAGATTGAGATATGATGAACTAGAGTAGAGGCTATATGAGCCATGTCGGTGGACGATAGTGGTTGGAGTGGTGTGTCGATGGCAGCCTGGTGGAGGACCGATAATGGTTAACCACTAGAGAAGGTTAGGAGATGGTCGTTTAGCGGGGGGAAGTCTAACGGTGTTCGACATCTTGGCGGAGGTCCAATGAAGGTTAGATGGAAATTCGATTAGTAATTAACAGCTGGGTAGAAGTCCATAGGTGGTCAACTTCTGAGTGGTGTTATTACAATGATTGGGCGAAAGTCTGGCGGTGGTCGGCGACCTAGTGGATATCTAGTGATGGTGCTGGAGCGCTTGAAGCCTTAGAGCTCTCTCCATTATCCAGCCAAAGGTCCCCCCTCATGTAAACAATGGGGGTATATTTATAGATTTTCTTTAGTAGCACACCCTATGATATAGAGAATATTCAGGTCAGGTTCGAAGTGCTACATCAGATGGTTCGTATTAATTTCTCCTATCATAGATTGTTATGTAGTGTTTAAGTGCCAAAATGATGTTAGAATTCAGCGATCTTGGGTTCATTGAATTTATCATGCCAAGCCGTTGATTCGACTATAAATATGTCAGATTTGGATATCATTTTGTCATCCTATTAATGCTTTAAATCATTTGAATATGCTTCATACTCTTAATTCGGACCCATTTGGGCTCGGATTGGATCATTTTTAGTCGTTAGGTTCATTTCTTTGATATGTGTGATTTGACTATAAGCTTGTTGAAATTAGAGTTTTGATGGTCCCAAATATAATTTCTGAATTTCAAAACTTTTATACGATGGTTGAAGTGCAGGAATGATTCAAGTTTGTTGTGTGATAGGTAAGTACCACTCAAACTTAAGGGAAAATTTATAAGATGGTGGTGAAACCTGTAATATTTTATGACGCAGAATGTTAGCCATTAAAAGAGAATTATAATATTAAGTTAAGTGTTGCTGAGATGAGGATGTTCAAGTGGATGAGTAGATTTACTCTTAGAGACAGCATACAAAATGTGCATATCCATGAAAAGGTTGGACTAGCTCTTGTGATAAATAAGATTAAAGAGATTCGCCTTAGACGGTTTGGTCATGTAAAAAGGCGGCCTTTCGAGGACCTTGTTAGAAGAGTAGATGTATTAGATCTGGCCTATGTTAAGGAATGTAGAGGTAGACCTAAAAAGTTTTGATTAGAAAATATTAGAAATGACATTTTTTTAATTAGATTTAAAGGAGAATTTGACTCTTAATAAGACACAATGGATAACAAGAATTCTTTGAAAAATATAATTAAAAGTTTATCACTCCTCTTATGTTTTATTAACATTTATTTCTTAAGCCTTCCCAACCCTAGAATAATTTTACTAATGTTGAAATATTCATGTTAATATGTGGAGAGCTTCTTGTATCAGTATTAAACAATGCATAGGTGGACGACACAGTTAATATGTGGAGAGTTAATATTCTTCTATGTCAAAAAATTAAGATGAACAAAATATCACCTGACCTAATTCAATTGAAATGATTCCACAAAAAAATTACGAAGCCTGTTCCTTAGATTAATAATCTTACAAAACTAATCTTCTCTTTCAATCATTAAGCTAGAATTATAGTGCTAGATTTTTCTTGTGAGGCTTTTGAGCGAATTTTGGACATGTTTGGGATGATCGTAATTTTTTTTTAAAAATTGATTATAAAGACGCCGTACTAAATAACTTTTTAGTATAAAAAATTATTGATATTTGCGACTTGAAATATAACTGTAAAAAAATGTCCAAATCCCCACACACGATAAATACTAGACATCAAATATAAAATCTTGCAATTTGAAACTAAAATATCCAACCCCTAGCGGAAGATAGGCTGTCACCAAAGAATTCTATAGTAATATCGTGTTATTATTGTAGACTACGGCATCGTCCACAAGAACTTCAAAGAATAATGAAGGAGAAACCTCAAACAGAGAACACCCCCAAGTCTGCGATGTGAATGCCTACCACACGGAGATCAGTCAAATCGGAGAGGATTCTTACGTATTCAAGAGCGCTCAACTGGATAACATTTGCAGGGTCTGTTTCACATCTGAACGGCTGCCAGTGAAAGAACTCTCGAAGAACTTGTCGGACCTCCGGTATGTTAGTGGAAGCTCCGGCGAGCACGACCTCATCCACGGCTTCTTTCTCGACTCTGGCATCCATTAAGCACCTCATGATTCCGCTGCGCAGAAGGTTGAGATTCATCTCCACCAACGATCCACGACTGAGCGTTCCTATCACCTCCCTGCCTTGTCGCTCAAACTTAAGCTCCACGGAATCCGAGCCCATACAGAGGACATTCTTGGCGCGCTCGCATTTCATTCGGATGTCAATGAGAGCCTTCACGTCGCTGGTGAAGTCGAACTCGAGCTTCGAAGAAAGCTCTGTAAGCAGGACGTGGAAAAGTGGGCAGCCCAAGTCGGAAACGGCGGCCTTTACAATTAGATCTAAATCTACGTTGATCAGAGAGATTTCAAGAATGCGACCATCGAGTTCGAATACGAGGACGGTTTTTGGTTCGGGACTGAGAGAGTTGTAATAGGCGGCGGCAAGAACCGGTCTTTCGATGAAAAGCAGAACGTGAGCTCCGGCAGCGGCGGCGGCGTCAGAGACTTGTGATTGATACTGGGGGCTGTTGCTGCTGGCGGGGAGGATGAAAAGGATATTATCGACTCGGCAGCCGGTGTTGCTTTCCATGTCGGCTTTCTTTTCTTTGAAATGCACGGTACTGACTTGGGCAGGAGTAAGGAGCTTTTGCTTGTTATCCGCTTGGGTCATCACGTAGTAGCGAGTGCCGTCGGGTGAGACATGACGCCTGAAAGGGTACAGGCGGCGGAGAAACCAGTCTTTGCCGGCGGCGGAGTGTAGGTGGACGACGCAGTTGTTGGGACTGCAGTTCATGGCGGGTTTCTTCTTCTCTTCTTGCCTTCTGGGCTTCTTGGCTTCAGGAAAGACGAGGATTTGCTGGTTTTTTAAGTGGGAGCGTTGTTTTAGCGAGGGAACGAGACTTCAGTTAATTTTGGAGCCTTTTCTAAGGTTTGTAAATAGAAATGAGATTTCTTTTCAAAAAAAAAAAAAAAAAATCTTAAAAAAATAAAATAAAAGGGAGATTTATATTTTAGTCGCTATTTTTTTTTCTATTTATATAATTAACATTTAATTTTTTAAATGTATTTATTTTTATAATACTTAAATATAAATATTACTAAATTGAAATATGTAAAACACATAACCTAAAATCACACAAAACATCCCTAATAAAATTTTGCCGTGAATATGTACCTGAAAGGAAAACAATAAAAAATGCAGCCCACTTTAAATCACATAAAACATCTCTAATAGGGTTTGGCTTCTTCTTAATCATATATAAATGATATGTTTGGCTTTTGCATGGTTCTGATGCCATCATGCCTTTTTCTTTTTAAAAAATTACAAGGAGGTCTTTGCATTAATTAATAAAAGCATTAATTAATAAAAAAAAGATACAAGACCTTCAAGAATCAAGAGCTCTATAAAAATATAGCATTTGAAGCAAAACCTAATAAACCTATGATCCTATCTATTACATGATTCAATAGAAAAAAAACATGGAGGCAAGAAGCAAGTTCTCAAAAGAGGACCCCAATCCAGATAATCAATGAAGCTCCAGATAATCAATGAAGCACCAAAAGTCAACTAGCAAATAGCTTCCAACACATGGACATGTAGTTGCAAGGCTAGAAATTGAGACAAAACTAAAATAGGCAAACATTAGTAAAAATGTACCTGAAAGAAAGACAATCAAAATTGCAGCCCACAACCCACATAGAGCCTCTAATAACAAACACCTAGAAAAAACAAAGAGAACAAAGAACAAAGAAAACAAAGCAAAGAACTCACAACAACAGACCACCAAGCCAATGCAAACCAACACAAGAACGAGTCCAAACAAATAATCCAAGAAACAACCTCCAACAACATTACGAAAAAATTGCCAAACCCAAACCGTAAGAGCATAACTGCCCAACAGCATAGAAAAACCCAACACCCCTACCAACACAAACCGAGGCAATGGAGAACAACATATAAGAGAAACCCCAACACCAAGACAGAAAGCACCAATATGGAAAATACCAGACCCAACACTCGAAACAACCCGCAAATACCAGCAAAAAACCATCAACAAAACAAGCACCACCAAAGATATAAGTAGAGGACTTAGATCTGTTGACCTTACTTTTGTATGAGGTCACTATGACCTTTTCCTATACTCTACACTTTAGGACTTCTTAGGCCCTAGAACCTTTATAGATTATAAATCTTAGGGTCCTCATAGTCTCCATACCCTAGGATCAATTTAGATCTTAAATCAATCTAGACTAAAACCAATGGCTAAGGGCTTAGATCCTGAAAGATTTTAACGCTGGGGCTGTTACAGCAGGATTTGAGCAGATTTTGGGGCTGTTACAGCAGGATTTGAGCAGAATACTAGCAGGTTTTGGGTGATGTTGCCACTGCTACCTTTTGAGGGATTTAATAAAGATTTAGGTGACATGGAAGCCACTTGCATTGGATTTGACATGTATGTAAAAGTCAACATATTCATAATCTCTAATAATGTCGTAGAATTTTAAAAGTTATAGTTTTGGTGAAGTGTAAATCATTGGGTAGAAATTTATTTTAAAAAATATTAGTACATTTTTTAAAAATTATATAATAACAGTGTAATTGCTTCAGTAGTGTATAATGCACTTTATTTTATATATATGTGTTGAAAATATTTAAATTATGTGAAAAGAACATCTATTGATCGTATGAAGGGGTTTTGTTGTTTGTTATGTATTAAAAGTTTTGGTGCCTAAAGGCTATTCTAATATTTACTAAGAAGGGATTTTGTTGGCGATAAGAAAGGATTTTGTTGGTGGGAAAAAGAGATTATGTTATTTATTATGTATTGAAATCTAGTTCATGAGGGACATCCATATATTTACTATGAGGTCTTTACTTACAATTCAATCAATTTTAGTACAAATTTAATTATTTATTTGAATGCTTATTTCAATTTAGTATCAGAGCCTAGTTCAATTTTAATACAATACTTTAATTTTTATTATTTAGCATTTTTAACTCTTTTGGTTTGAATTATTAATTCCTATTTTAGGCTGTTGTAGCCTATTAAGCCGTGTTAGCACACTCATGCTTTTGCTTCTATTTTTAGGCCAGAGAAAGGGTAAGGAGCAAGCTGAGTTGTTTCTGATAGCACGCTCTGATCTATGTTATAGATATGTATTTTAGTTAATTTCCTTTTGGTAGGATTCGCTTTTATTTTATTGTACCTTTCTATTATCAAGCACTAAAGTAAATAGACATATAATTTTATTTATATTTTAGTAGATATATAAAAAAATAATTTATGAGATTTTGTAATCTTCTACTTTATATTTATATTTAGTAATGGCTTTGTTTTGTATATGATTTGAATGTTTCAATTTAACAATATTTCTTCAACTAGATCTTGGGTCTATCTTTGCTTCTTATCATGATCGGGCACGGTATGACCTCTGTGTTGGTTAGTTCATATCGGCTCGAGACATGAAAAGATTTACATGCTATAATAATTGCACTAATTATAGACATGACATGTGATAATTGTCATTATTTGATATGCATGATTTGACAATTGTGTGAAAAGAAGAAAGGCTAGCTGAAAAAGATTGATTAATTCAAGTTTACTGGAGACATATTATTATATTCAAGAGAGCGAGCTGACAAAATTTTCTTTAAATAAGATTTAAAGAATACATAATGAGAGTGACCGATATTATATGCCAAAGAGCTTGAGAGATGAATCTTACATTAAACCACCTGACTTGTGATTGACATGATTGATTTCTAATTATAAGACTGATATGATTGATGAGATTGATTCCTGTTTAGTTTGAATTAAGGGCCTATAAGACTTGATTCAAGAAAATACCTAAGGGTTAGATGTCCTGCCTTGCTTATTATTAATATTATAAGAATATATAATAGACTATGGCATAGCATGATTACATAAAAGATATGATATGATATGATATGACATGAATATGGTACAAGATTACAATTGATACATGCACATAATGAGACTAATGAGATTCATAAAAAAATAAACGACACATGATACATAACATTGATACATGATAGTGATATATAATACATTTGATTCATGACATTTATACATGATATACAAGCTACATGATACACATGCAATGATATAGATCAACATGAATTCAAAAAGATATATGAAATATGACATCACATGATAGTCATATTGATATACATGGTATAATACAAAAATAACACTAATTTGTGGTAATTAATATATATAAATTCATATATGTTATATACATAGATTAATAATTTCACTTGATACAATATTATGAACAACACTACTATAGAACTGATGTAGCTTACTAATTCCTTATAGTTATTGATCACATTGATTTACATTATTTACTAATTGATGTTGGTTACCTTGATTATTACTATTCACAGTGATTGTTACTATTCATATATAATTTTACATATTCACATTAATATTATATGAATGATTATATACATATGTCTTCTATTATGTACATTGAACGTAATAGTAGGTTATGGTGACCTACTAGGATTTTTGCTCATTATATTTGGTTTACATGATTTTAGGGAAGGGTAAGGGCCCAATGGAGTGAGACTAATCCAATAGCATTGATAGGTATTTTATTTTCTATTATCTCTTATTGTAGTTATGAATGTGTAAGGATTGATAGATGCTGGAAAATATATTCATGGCAAATATATACAATTTTTGGAGATATTAATTAAATGGATATGTATAATAGTTTTAAGATTACATGAAATAAAAGGATATTTTGGCTGCTTTATTTTTAAAATGGATGTTATTAATGGCTTCAGCACATAATTCAAAGATAAAAGATAAATTCTTCTAGTTATGATTCCTGCAATGTGATAATAAGGGCTTAATACTATTATGATTTGCATATTAACTCATAAGGGTCTGATTCTGAATTTATTTTGATCTTGTGAAATGTTTGAAAGCTAAAAGAGCTTAAGTGGGGACTAATCTAATTTGATGGGACTGGAGACTGATGTATTATGCTTATTTTTATTATTTGCGAATATGTGTTATTATGTAATTTGAATGAATTCAAATATAGATACTAAATTGAAAAATAGTTAAATTTATGATGAATGACACACTACAGTTAGTGACATTATTATGAACATTATAATGGATGTTTTTGTATGAATAATATTTTATTATTTTTATGATAGAATAGTCCATGTATTTAATATTTTGTTTTTATTAAGATTTGGGATGGTTGTGTGTAGCCTATTGAGTTGTTGTTTGTTCATACATGTTTTTTTTTTACATGTGTTGATTTCAGGCCATGGAAAGGGAAAGGGGGTAGATTAAGTAGATAGAGGTTAGATATTTTTTATTGTTAGTTATTTTTTTCTGATGCATGATTATTTTTGGAAATCATGGTATATATTTGATGGTTGTAGTATGACTCTATACCAAGATTGTTGTATATAAATATTTTATCTATATACCTTTTTGGAGATAAATGAAAAATTTTATAAGCTATTTTCTATATCTTAAGTTGATGGTTAGTGCTTTGTGCTTGTGGTAATAAATGAAATGAAAAGAAATTACTTCCAAATAGATCTTGGGGTTTATCTTGTCATAGTCTAACATAATATGGCCCATTCGGTATATGAGTTATATTATGTTGGGTATTATAGATCATTAAAGAATTTTAATCATTATAGTGAGGATCTAGTCTTCCCTTGAAAGTGGTGTTGATTGTCCTCAATGAAAGGACTAAATTTGGATGTGCCAAGCCCAACTTATTCATTTCTTCTCAAAA